AGCAGTGTGAACGGAGACGTGCGACCGTTTCTACTGTACGGTCGCACGTCTTCCGTCGAACCAGCATGTTCGAAAACCAGCCGGGAATCGTACGATTCTCGGCTGGTTAGAACGGTGCTCGGAAGACAAATGACGAACGGGACGGTGTGCGCACGCGCACACTGCCCGTTCAGCATTGCGGTCATCGGAAGCACGCCCCTCGGGGGCGGGCTTGCGATGATCGAGAGTGCGATCTGCCTGTCCAAGATAGGCAGATCGTACGTTTTTTAAATCCCTGTACAACCATCGCAAAACTAAAGTCTTGCGATGGTTGTACAGTGTATGGCCACCTTTAGTATTGCTCCTCTGCTCAGTGGGCAGGTGCAATAGCCCCATGTGTACCTACCACTGTTTCCTTGTGCACCTGCTACAACCTTGCTGCACTGTCTTGTCCTGCTTGCACTAGTCCAGTGCCCCTTGGACCCCTGCGTTCCATTGCACTTTGGCCAGCTATGTCTGCATGGGTGTGTTAGAGGGCCCCAACCTGGGAGCTGTCCAACCGCACAATCATCCTCACTATTGGAGGCTTTGGAGAAGACCAGGCTCTCCTCAGGCTCTGCGCCTCTGGCACACCCACGTTTTCTGAGCAGTCACTCTGGCCCGTGTTTGACGCACTGTATGCTCTGACTCCACCTGTATTCCTGGCCTATTCCCAGCTCCAGACTGCTCTGCAAAACCCGGTGCTCATGGTTCCTAGTGCCCCAGTTCCGTGAATGTGACACTTCTGATACCCAAATCTCAATTTTCTGAGCAAATGTTGAGGGCTAACTTGTCTCTGCCCAACTCTGTAAATCTTTATGTTATTCAACATAAACAGCTGCCTCAGTGTCCTATGAGGGGACAGGTCAACCTTTGACAACTGCAGTGAAAGTCAAGATTTGAATATCAAGTTCTGAAGCTCAATTGCCAATTGTAGGGACTTTTGGTGGGGGACAGGGGTCAGCATGAGCACCTCAACCAGTCTTCGGCTACGCAGCCCCATATACACAAACTGCGATGCACTGTGTGTTCAGACACCTTTCTAACGGAAGCAGCATTATCTTTTTCAGCAATTTGAGCTATAGTAGCTCTTCTATTGGATCGGAATACCGGGGTCAGCCTTCGCTCCCCACATGCATCAATGAGCCTTGGCCGCCCATGACCCTGTTGCCGGGAAACAATGCTTCTTGCTTGTCTGCCTTTTTTTGGACCACTGCAGACCAGAAACATCGAAGAGCTGCAGTTTGGGAGTTGCACTGACCCAGTCATCTTGCCATCACAATGTGACCCTTATCACTTATATAGTATATATCTGATTTTTTTTCTGCATTGGAAGGCCCACAGAAGTTGATGGCAGCACATTAAATGATATAACATGCATTTTCATGCACGGGCAGCAGGTATTAACACACATCAAAATGCATGTCAATGCACATAGGAAACCTACGTTGAGGGATTGTTTACTCTGTATTAGGGATGCACCGATACTAGTACTCGCCAAAATGCTCCAATACCGGAACTTCCAGTCAGAGTGAGATCTCCCTGTGAGCAGCAATGCTGAGGGAGCATAGAGCCAGCTTTCTGTCCAATCAGGAAGCCGGGCGGTGGGTTAAGACCCGCCTCCCTGATTGGCTAGGAAGCCAGGCTGCCTAGGGACAAGTGAAGCTGGCTTTCTTGCCAATCAGGAAGCTGGGAGGCGGGCCATGTCGTCCGGCTTCTTGATTGGCTAGGAAGCCAGCTTCACTTGTTGGTAGGCAGGCTGGCTTCCTAACTAATCAGGAAAGCCGACAGCACCTCATGACTCACTGCCCGGCTTTCTGATTGGTCAGGAAACCAGGCAGCCTCGGCAAGTGAAGCCGGTATTCTTTCACTAGAACACTGGCTTCACAGGCAATCAGGAAGCCAGGCGATGGGTCTAGATCCGCTGCCCGGCTTCCTGATAATCAGAGCACATGGCACCGGTACTTGGTATCGGAGAGTACCAAAATATATATATATATCGGTACTCAATACCAAAAAGCGGTATCGGTGCATCCCTACTCTATATAGTGGGATGCATTGAAAAAGTCATGTTTGTAAATGAGTCTAGTTTGCATCATTGTGGAATGCGTTGCCGTGCGTCTATAAAAAGTACAACATGCTGCATTTTTTTCATGCAACGCATGTAAACAGGATTAAAAATAAACAACTATAGTGTTTTTTCTGCACCCCTCGAAAACACTACAATGTATGTATGAAAATGCATGCAAACACAACCTATTAAAAAAACATGTCAACGTGCATGTGTACACATACACCAGCCTGAAATTTGGGCTAACGTGAGTGCTGGGGTGCATGTCACCTATTTGTGACTTGGCAGCTGTGAAAACAATACTAACCTCCCAGAAAAGTAATCTAGGAATACACTATAAATAAAAACATGCTCTTCTCCCACCGGACACGAGCTCATACCCAGCCTAACACGCACGTCACATAACTGTCCCCCTGCCCCCGTGAATGTAGGACTAACACGTGACCAATATTTTGCCAAACCCCGCCTCCCAGCCGTACACAACACCTGTCTGCGAGCCAAAAAAGCAAAGGCAACAGGCGGGCACAACAAATGACGTGTGACTGACAGCGCGCTGCTTCGCGGTGAACCAATCACAGCTGGGAGCGGGCTAATGTCTTGTATCAGAAGGAGCATTAGCTAATAGCTAGAGGTGTGAGTGCGGCTGGACGATCCAGGTGGGTTCTCTCTCAGTGTAGCCTATAGAACTGTGTGGTGGTCAGATGACCCCAGCTTGGAAGGGACTGTCACATGTCCCGTGCTGGGAAAGCTTAGCTCGCTGTGTTCTCTGTTATGTCACATTTGTTTTGCTCAACTCTCTGAGAAAGAGTCTTTAGGAAGTGTTGCTGCACTTTAAAGGGAGCTTTCCCTGACAGCTTCATTATTGTACTTGAGTAATAGGTTAGCATGCTGATCTATCCTATTTATGTGGGCAGAATCCGGACCTATTCACACCTGAGCGTAGCAGGAACGCATGTCTCATTTGTGCTCATTTGTTTTCTACGTTTGACGCATGCTCCCATTAATTGAATGGGGTCCCGAACACACATCAAGCACGGAAAAGTGCATGTTGCAAAATCTGTGACCTTAATTTTGTGTTGTTTCCTCTGCGTTTTAATGTGCGCAAACATGGAGGAAAAACGTGTTTCCCCCGCTGCATTTGGTTATGGCACAGACATGTTTTAAACATTTCACGAAAGCATGTCAAAGTGTGCATTTTTTGCACTTTTGACGTACGTACACTCAATGTCAGACAGTTGATTTTGTAGCATCCTTTTCTTGACGCTACAAATGGATAATGCCAGCGATTAGCAGCTAGCCTTTTTATTTTTATCGTTGGTGGTGGTTTGTCGCTAAGAAGGAGTGCCAGGACAGGGTCTTCTAATGCCTAGGGCAAACACTCCAAACTGCGCCCTCTCCCCCCAGATCAGGGGGTAGGGTCAACAATGGTGTGTGCATTGCGCTGAATCTGTAACATATGTAATGGATGTGGCATGTACTGAAAAAGCAATGGTTGTGGCACACTGCAGCTAATTGAAGAGGGGTGCACATTTTGTCTCGTGGTACAGTATGCTAACATACTGAGTAGGAAACAGTATGTCTGGTGACATGTGCTATATCACGAGACAAGGGGAGACCGGAAGAAGTGCAGTCAACCCTCACTCCCCAGTGAGCACCTATACTGAGATGGAAGCCTGTTTGCAGGGAGCAGTTGTCCCCTCTTCCTGCTCTTTTTCACCCACAGTAGACTGATGTTGGAGAAAGCAGAGTTCACCATCCAGCAGCTATCATGGCTCTGCTCTGCCTAAGTTGGTACCCAATACCAACTTATTGATAAAGAAAAATAGGCTTCCAGTGTTTCCCCTGGGAAAATGGTTATAGTATGGCAACTGGAAAGTTTCTTTGCTCAAACTTTTTATCCATATCTTTCTAAATCATATTTTCCCCATTATGAAAAACTCTGACACATTAAAGTATTGGGAGAATAAAACATACTCATACATGCTTTACACCGCACCTGTCACATGTAGGCTCTAACACCCACATTCTGTTCTTTAGTATATTTTATATGAGCAGGTATAAACAAATGAAAAAGAACTCTACTCCCGTAATATAATTCTACTCCCGTAATACAGGTGAAACTCGAATAATTAGAATATCGTGCAAAGTTCATTTATTTCACTAATGCAACTTAAAAGGTGAAACTAATATATGAGAGAGACTCATTACATGCAAAGCAAGATAGTTCAAGCCGTGATTTGTCATAATTGTGATGATTATGGCTTACAGCTCAGGAAAACCCCAAGAACCCCAAATCCACAACCTCAAAAAAGTAGATTATTACATGCAATCAATAAAACAAGGATTGTACATAGAACAATATCGGACCTCTGAAAAGTACAAGCATGCATATGTACTCAGTACTTGGTTTGGGCCCCTTTTGCAGCACTTACTGCAATTACTTTTGCACGATATTCTAATTATTCGAGTTTCACCTGTATAATAAGGACTTTATAAATTGTCCTATGCAGTCTCCTGTCAGCACAATATTGTGGAACAGACAGTGTGGGTATAAAGACAGATTTACATTAGAATGACGAAAAAACTATTTCAATGTCTTTTGTTGCTAAATATTAGAGTGAACCTCACCTAAGGACTTTATCGACAATAGTATTTTATTTATTTATGTCTAAAGCAAAGTTTCGAAAAAGCACAAAATCAGAAGTGTGCTGCACATTAAAAGTGACACTCAACTTAGGAATTCTTAAAAAATGTAATTCATGATGGACTATACTCTCAATACAAATGAGTAAACTAAACATGAGATTGTATTCCATCACAAGAGCGAGCTTGGAGCGGTGACTACTTTACAAAACACACTGCACATTCTTTCTCCCACTCTCTGACTCATGTCTGGGAGATATAAAAATATGGGAAGATGATTTTTAAGATAATCGAAAGTACTGCTTTTGTTTTTTCAGAATTACACGCAATGTCTAAGAAGTTGCTGCTGGTGGATGTGGATTGTGGGGTGGATGATGCCCAAGCACTTATGTTGGCCCTAGCAGCTCCTAATGTTGAAATCTTGGGTATAACCTGTTGTCATGGAAACTCTACCATAGAAAATGTCTGCAGAAATGTCCTGTGCATTTTGGAATGCTGCAATAGATGTGAGGTAACTGTGGATCGTAGATATATACATTTAAGTGTTGTCTAAAGAGGTTTTTAAGGATAATGTACTTTCAGTAACATAAGCTGTGTTGCCTCATTGCTTGCTTGCTTTTTCCTGTTCGTTCTCTCTTTTCTATTAATTAAGAAATAAGTGCAGAAACTGAGTTTAGTGCCTTCTTCTAATCTGCATGTAATAGCTATAAATGGTGTTTATGCCAACTTACAACAACAATGTCAAAATGTAGGCTTCTTGGGGTCCCTGCAAATATGTTTGTGAACCCTCAGTTGCTTTTGTGTGGACTCGGTAAGCTTCTGGATCCTAGGCCCTTAAAATTACATTAAAATGATCCTCAAATCATCTCTGAATTCATGCTGACACTGTCCTTCCTTCTGGAGGGTGGCTACTTTTGTTCCCCATGGTCAAAATTGTTAAACAGCTTTGTAGCGAGGAACTATACTCCAGAGCTCTTCACTTTTTAATGGAATTTAATCTCCTCAAAAATAAGTAGATTTTTGTTTTTTTGTATGTTTAGATTCCTGTTTATAGTGGAGCAAGTAGACCACTACTTGGAAAGAATATCCATGCTAGTGATTATCATGGAGTAGATGGCTTGGGCGATGTACCAGATCTTGCTTTCCCTAGTCTTGAAGCATTGAACAAAGAACACGCTGCTCTGGCGATGCTGAGGATAGTCAGTGAACACCCTGGGCAGGTGAGAAATGTTTCTTTGTTCTGTAACTTTAAACATTTGCTGTGTTGAACCCACAGTCCTTTCTTCTCCTGAAGAGGTTTTTAAAAGCCATTTGAAAAAGGATTTGGATTTTGTGTTGTTTTAATTGGAGTTCCAATTCAGTATAACATTTCAAAATAACCCTCTGTGATATCCAACCTCAGTGATATCACTACTATCCCTGGCACAGTCATTGGCCTTGTCATCATTCTTTATCAAAGAGGATGCATGTCTGTTTCCTGTTTTAGTAAACCATTCAAATTAATCTGGCTTTCATCATAAGTGTAGAGTCAATGAACCTTTTCTGCTGACTACAGAGACTAGAATTGATGGCTATGAAACTCAAACAGTAAAAGGAATGCTGGGGTCTTATATATATAAAAATATTATATTATATTCGTTTCTATAACAGGAATACAAGGTTAGGCAACCTCAGTACTCCAACTGTTGTGAAAGTACAAGTCCCAGGAGTCATTGCAAGACTAAGTAGCCACAGGCATAAATCCCAGAGTTAGATGTACAATGAGATTTGCAGCTCCACCACATTTGAAGTGTTAAGGTTGCCTATCCCTGCGGTAATACTTGATTTGTTAGGTATTCAAAGAATCCAATGCGCTGAAAACCTACTGAAGTAATTCAGTCACTGTGTGGATATATATATATTACACCAAATATGATCCTTTTCTGAAAAACATGTAATTCTATACAAATTTACAGGTTTTACTAAAGCAAATCTGTCAAGGTTGGCAATCAGTGTTTTGGTGTTGTGAACCTTTTCTCTTTTCTGCATTTGATTAAAAAGGTACTTTTAAACACCTCTCATTTGGCCTCTTTTGATTTATAGGCACCATAATCTGCCATATCATACCTGTCCTTTGAAATCATACCAGCCACGGCTTTATTTGCTATTTTCTTTTTTTTACAACACTAGGGGACATAAAGTTTCTTTTCCTGTGTGGGACTTGATAAACCTAGGCAAGAGTTGATTTAGATGTAATTCATGACACATTTTTATCGCAAAAAGCATTGTCAACATGTATTAGCAAAGTAATATGACATCTACAGGAAAAAGCAACAACTTATCCCACTTTTTCTGTGATTTACATAATTATTAACCACCCAGCAATTTGCATGTTCATTTGTATCTTGGATAACCAATCAGTGAACAGTGTTTAAAGTAGTATTAAATGCTAAAACGTTTTTTTTTAATGATCCATCCAGATGGAACAAATATACATTGCCCAGCAAATGATTTATTTGCATATTAGCCCAAACACTTAGTTATCGTGTTTCCAAACAGGTAGCTCCAACTCTCTCAGCTCCGCTTTCCTGAACTTCCTGTCAAGTTTAGGATTGCAAGGGACAGAGCAGTCTGCGGCAGCTTTCCTTCTACTAGCTTAGAAAGGGGAGGAGGGATCTTGGCTTTCTGTACCTGTGTATTTGTGGGAGTACACACAGCTTACTAGTGCACACAAGGGTGGCTCCTTAAGACCTTGTAAGGAAAAGGAGTCACCCTAAAACAGGATATCAGGGCCAGTGCTTCGGGAACCAGCTGATTCTGCAGAAAGCTAAAACTTTGCAACACCAAGGAGCAGCATCCATTGTAATGATTTAATCAGCATTTGAAATGGCTTCAAAACATTCGTCTTTAATATCATTTTAAGGCACAGGTTTAAAAGAGACTGCAGAGTAAAGCCTTATCTATTGAAAAAAAAAATATCTCCTCTTCATCATACTTGTTTTGTTTTTTTAATTTAGGTTACTGTTGTTGCAACTGGTCCCTTGACAAACTTGGCTTTAGCTGTCAATATGGATCCAACTTTCCCACAGAAGATCAAAAGCCTTTTCATTATGGGAGGTAACATGGAGTGTAAGTATATGAAGTGTAATTTAAAAATCCCCACACGCTAAACCCAATGGTAAACAAACTGGTCATTTGATTTTGGCCTTCATAAGTTTTTTGGATTCTGATGTCCATCTATGCTTTAAAAAGTGATCACTTTGTACAATGTAATTGATGTAATCAATGATCTATCCACTCAAAACTATTTCAGTTATTGGTAAATGCTGGAGAGTTAAACCACACAAAATATTTTTTTATTGTTTTACTCGTAAATATCTTCATCTGAGTTCCTGGGGCTTTACACCTACGGTGACTCTTATGAGGGGGTCCAATAAATGTTTTTTACATTTATTTTAAGTGATGGAGAGTGCTGAGCATGAAGCAGAAGACGCAGAAGCACTCAGTTTGTGGGGAACAGCTAAAACTCCTACGAGAACAGAAACAGAGATAGCAGTTATGATATCATATAATAGCAAATGCTTTCTTTCAGGGTTTGTTCACACCCAATGCAGACCAGATCTGCATGAGTTTCTGCACACGCAGTGCAGTGGGTTGTGCCTCGTTTTTTTGCAGCGTTTTTGATGCGTTCCGGGCTGTTTTTTTTGTTTAAAATGGGCTTTCAGGGTGTTTACATGCGTTTTTGATGCGTTCCAGAGCAGGTAAAATAGGGCTTGCTGCAGTTTTTTTACATGCTCTGGAACTGAACGCTGCGGTGTGAACTAGAGCCCAAAATACCATTGGAATACATTGTACGCAGTTTTGATCCGGTCTGTAACTGCTCTGCTCCTGGAACGCGCTTGGTGTGAACAAGGCCTCAGGGTATGCAAGACAATAGGACGAGCCAAAGGCTGATTTGCCCCACCCGGCTTCACCTATAACTTCTGACTTTTGTAGTGGAGTGAACATTTAAATCATGTTGTGGATGTAAATGTAGGGGATTACTTGCTTACATTGGTGTTCTGCTGCTGATGCTCTGACCCAACATTTCAGTCCAGTATTCAAGCTTCCTGAGCATATAGTGTATGCTCTGGAATAAAAAAATAGATACTTTTTATTTGATTGGTATACAATAATGTGAAGGAGTAAGTACACCCCATGGAAAGTATTGATCAGATCAACACATTTTAACAAGGTAAACATTAGGTCGTCATGTAAACAGTGCCTACAGGTAAAGGGTGATATAATTTAAACAAATGACACCTCAAATTAATATGGTGTATTCATTCTCTTACTCTGAGTTGATGAAAATGTAGATTTTGTCAGAAGGAATAGTACACCCCTACATTTACCACCACTTCAGATACATTAACTTAAGGTGTCCATACACTTTACAACCATCGCAAGACATTAGTCTTGCGATGGATGTAAAGTAATTAAAAAAACGTACGATCTGCCCATCTTGGACAGGCAGGTCGTACTTGCGATCATTGCAAGCCCGCCCCCTAGAGGGACGGGCTTCCGATGACCGCAATGCTGAACGGGCAGTGTGCACGTGCGCACACCGGCCCGTTCGGTATTTGTCTCCCGAGCATCATTCAAACCAGCCGAAAATCGTACGATTTTCGGCTGGTTTTCTAGCGTGCTCCTTAGACAAAAGACGTGCAACCGTACAGTAGAAACGGCCGCACGTCTTCATTAACACTGCACGATTCTTGCACGATCGCGGGACTTCCCGCGATTCTCGTTGGAGAATCGTGCAGTGTATGGGCACCTTTAGAATCAGGTGTTTCAGATGAGGTGCTAATTATTGGAACCTTCTTTGGGAGTATGCAGATGGACCAGTCTTATTTAAACCGTGTGTGTGTGTGTGTGTGTGTGGTCATACCATGACCGAAAGAGCTCTCTAAGGCCCTTAAGAAAAAGGTTGTGAATGCCTGTGGGTCTGGCAGCAAGAAATAAAAAAAAAATGAGACTGTAGGACTCAATCATTCCACTGTAAAGAAAATGATAAATGGCATAGATTTTAAGTGATTGCTAATTTGTCCAGGAGTTGCTGACCCAGCAAATTGAACCCCCCACATTCCATCATGGGATCTTGCATCAGTTGGTATCAGACTGTATGTGTGAACAATCAGAAAGAGATTGCACTAATTTAACCTGCATTGAAGTTGTGCCAGAAAAATGCCTTTGCTGTCCAAAACAGAATTTAAGAGCAAGAGTGCAGTTTTTCATTCAACAAGTACGCAAATACCAGGTCTTCTGGAACAATGTGCTGTGGACTGATGAATCAAGTTGTTGGGTCAGCGTCACACTCAACATGTTTCCACAAAATTAAGACATCATTTCAGGAGCGGATCCACATAAAAATTGTGAGCAATGGTGGTGGAAATGTTATGGTTTGTGGTTGCTTTGCGACTTCACCGTCTGAGCAGCTTGAAGCTATTGGGGTTGATTTACTAACCTTATAAACACACCACGAACATGTATACACCTCTGTAGTGTGTTCCCTCCCAGCATGATCTATGGGTGGAATCTAAACACCTTTGTAGTGTGTACACACCCAGCAGGTGTGTTGTGCAAAGCACTGCATGAATTGCAAGGTGATGTTGTGTAAATTAGCTCTACATTGTGTTGCTTGCGTTGATGAATGCAGGAATGTAAATGCATGAGCTAACCATTTTTGTCTAAACTGTGAAGCAGCATTATATATGCATCATGTGCATGATTTTTCCATATATGGCATTAGTGGAAATATGCTTATAGAGACTTTTTGGTTGATAAATACGCTTTGCTGTGTAAAAATCACAAGCACCTGGTGCGTGCGTTTAGGTTAGTAAATCACCCCCATTGAGTCATCTATGAATTCTGCATCATATTGAACTGTATTTGATAGGAATCTTAGGCTATCTGTTTAAAAGTTAAACCAAAAATACATCTTCCAACCTAATGATCCACAGCACACAAGCAAATCCACCATTACATCTACTGATATATTTGTTGAAATCATTGAAAAGGCACATTTTCCTTGTGTCTTTAATCAAGTATATCGCCTACATCTGTACACATTGTTTGATGAAGATCTTATGTTTGCTTGTTCAAATATGTGGAAAAAGGTCAACAATGTTATGTATGGTATGTAGGTTTTCACATGACTGTATACCGAAAGTCACAAATCTGGTGCTCTTCACATATAAATCAAAAGTCAGTAGTCCACAAGAGGCCTGCAGCTCACATCCAAGACAAGGAAGTCTATGACATTAAAATATAAACAAGACTCATCGCCTTGCCCTTGTGTGACAAACTTTTCTTATCTAATAAGGAATATTAAAACGGGTCAGGTACTCACATTTTCTAATAGAGCATACAATAGCTCAGAACTTTAAAATTTCAATTCATATTCCTTTGAAGTACTGGTTGTAGTTAGCAGTATAATGTTCAACAATGGATAATTAATTTCCTGGGCATGACCCCCTTCTTCAGAGCCTGGGACCTGCCAGGCAAATCTCACTTGGTCCCCTGGTGGATGAAATAAAAATGTAATACTTTAGTGAGACTTCTTCTTAAAGGGAGTTAATAGCTTTAAGTGGTAAATGACGCAGCTGTATTGTTCACCCCTCCATCATCTGTGTTTATGCTGGGTTATATGGAGATTTAGGTTGGTAAAGAAGATCAGAAAGAAGCAGCTTCTGCTGGGCTTTCTTTTTAAAAGCACAGAGCAAAACCAGTGCTGTAGAGCATCCTGTAGAAAAGAGCTTAATTGTAAAATAAAGCTTTTATAGAAATACCAGTTTAAATTTGTATCAAAACCCCATATCAAAAATGTAATATTGCAGACTACCAGTCCTTATTTGAGGTGTCTGGATTTTGTTTTTTCTTCTCTCCTTTTTTTTTTTTTTTTCCAGGCCTTCTTTCCTTTTTATTTTCACCTGGTAATCCTGTGAAAAAAACATGCTTCCCTTCCCTGTGTGGTTATATTGATTCCTGCACTGTATCTATAGTGGGAGCCATGGTTGCTGCCCAGGCTTTACCTCAAAAATGTCTGCTTTTGACAGGCAGGATAAGGAAAATTAGTGGTTTGCAGAAGGAAGATAACATTGTGTGTACACAGGAAATGACAAGTTTAAAATGTAAATGTCACCAGCACGACAGATGCTGCACAGGAAATGACAAGAACACCATTTTTGGCAGTGAAAATGAAAGCGAAGGCAGTCACCATGTCTGGTAATCTGCAAAATATTACATGTGAACCTCTTTCTGCCTTGAAGAAGGGACCCTGCGCGGCCCCGAAACGTAGGCTTTGTTGATTATCGTGACACAATTGTCCATTAAAAAGGACATACTTATTTAAATTATTTGAGTGCTGGTGACCTGTCTTTTTATTTTGTATTATAGACAAGACAGTCCACATCGTTGGTAGCTGGTTAACAGCAAAAGTATTATACAAGATAAAAACTAAGCAGAGTACCAGGGTGAGGTGTATGGAACTTGAATTTTGAGTTCTGCACATTCTGACTTGCACTCGCACATCTTTCAGTGTACACTCAATAGAGATGCCGTTAGGCTATGTTTACACAGGTGAGCTACTATTGTAAGCCATTTACTGTCATTGTGCTTTAACATGTTTCAGTTGTCTGCATTTTAGGCAGTTAATTGTTGAAGTAACTTTATGGCTGGCAATCCTGCTTTCCTAAGATAATTATTTTTTATTGTTTTAATTATTTACATTTTAGCTAGAGGAAACTTTACAGCTTGTGGTGAATTCAACTTTTCATGCGACCCAGAAGCTGCTTATATAGTTCTAAATAGCTTTGATTGTCCAACACATATTTCCACCTGGGAGTTCACTGTCAAAAATATGCTACCTTGGGTAAGATGACATACATTTTTATTTTTTTATTTTTATTATTATACATTCTTGGTTGTGTTTTATATATCACCAGACAAAAGACTACACTATTGCTCTGTCCATGATCCTTGGTTTAGGTAGAGGATGATGGAAGTGCTAGCTCTGCTTATTACAGACTTGCTGGGCAGCATTATATCCCTAGTTGATCTATGGCAGCACTTTACCACTCTTTTGTAGTGAGTGAAGATATGCTACGTGGACTGCCAGGCAAGGTTGTGCCTTTTAGCTTCCTTTGGGTCTCAAATGTGTATGAAGGATGTGCTATTCTTTGCAAAATCAATGTTTCTACTTTTTCTTTGTGCATTGCATTCTCATCTACTTTAGAAACACCATCTGATTACTAAACAGACAGTTGTGTTAGATGCCCCAAAGAGTAACCTGATCTCATGGTTTAGGACTTGTAGTATCAATGCTGACCATATCTCTTTTTTTATTTCTCTTAATGAGCCTACTAATCCAAGCATCACCTCTGCTGTTTGTAATGTAGAGGTATGCAAATATGCACCTAAGCCCTTTGCTGACCAATTTTTCATATAGTTTATGCACATTTTTGGCCTGAAGAACCCTTCTAACAGAGGCCCTGTAGAAATAAAAGCTGGTAGTTGCAAATGTTTATGTCCCACAATATTTGTGCAACTGTTTATCAAACCTATATTTTCAGTAAACAAAACATGTATGTGCAACCAACTTGTGTTTCTGTTAGTATACAAGTATTTGCAGGGTTGGGGGACTTTCAATTTTTTTTTTTTAGGGGGGGAGGGGAAATTCAGCTGCTGGGGCAGCTGAATGTAAATACAGCAGGCAGTTGCTGGGAGCAATAGTCAGCCTGCTATTGGATATTTTAAGTTGCAATAACAGGCTGGCTATTGTTCCCGCCCACTGCCTGCTGTGAATCAGCAGAGGAGGGAACGGAAGGAGAAAGTTCTCCATCAGGTCCTCCTCTGCCGATTGACAGCAGGCAGTGGGAGGGTGCAATAGCCAGCCTGCTATTGGCTATTGCAATTTAAAATATCCAATAGTAGGTTGGGTATTGTTACAAGTGTCCGCTCCTTTTCCACTTGATTAAACCTGTTTTTCCTTTTTGGTTATATATCTCAAATTGTCAGCTGCCCGTGCTGCTTATTTGTTTAATAATCCACTCACCAGACGTACCCAGTTTTTGCGCTCTCAATCAAAGAAGGGAAGGTCTGTTCTGTGTGTTCACGGGAGAGGAGAGGAGAGAAGCCGTAAATCTTGACTACACACAGAACAGACCTTCCCTTCTTTGATTAAAAACGAAAACCTCTGGGTACGTCTGCACTTGCATTGTTAAACAAATAAGGAGCACGGGCAGCTGACACTTTGAGATACATAACCAAAAGGAAACGGTTTAATCAAGTGGAAAAGGAGCGGACACTTGTAACACTAAACCGTCTCAATGGACGGAAAGGACAGAGGTGTAGCAGCGGAGGTACAAGAGGGGGGGAGAAGCGGGGGATTTCAGAGTCACTGGCCGCAGTCTCTTCTCCCCTCTGGTGCCGGCTACAGCGTTCTGTGAAAGGGACACAGACCGCTGCAGCCAGCACCAGCAGGGAGAAAAGACTGCAGCCGGTGACTCTGAAATCCCCCGCTTCTCCCCCCCTCGTACCTCCGCTGCTGCTGCTCCTCCGTCCTTTCTGTCCATTAAGACTGATTGATTTATTTTATGATGTGTTCTTTTAGCCCTACTGAGGGGTGCCCCTTGGAAAAACAATGCTGTCTTACTGTTTTATATGACCACAAAAACACTGATGTTGATTCATTCCATAATACATCGCCATGATTTTATTGCGGTCTATGTCCCATTAAAGAAATTAATTATCTTTATCCTGATGACCATTGTTATTGGGAAAGAAAATGATGGGGAATTAAAACATTTTCCAGTTGTCACCAGAACAGAGGCTGGGGGGGGGGATTTTTCTAATGGGGACACTTGTTCTGGTGAAAACTGTGCAAGAAGGAACTTCCTCTCACTTTTGAAGACCTTATTTTCTACTTCCTGTTGTTGTGTTTGGAGACGCAATTCCATATGCATTTTGATTACTAGAATGTTTGTTTAATGTTGCTTTTTAGAAATATTGTATGCCTGCCACATATGTAAATCACATTTAGCTGTAGTATGCAAAGATCATAAGTGCATTAGAGAGAGTTTTGATCTTACACCAAGCTTGTCTACAAATGGTTAGCATAACTTAGGCTGCTATTTTAAAAATTCCTAAAACTAAGTAATATGCTAGAGTTCAACGTTTTTCTGACAATCTCGTTCTGTACTGGCGGTCTTTGCAGGGGCCATAGTTTCTGAAAGCTCATACTTCAGTTGGTCAGGTGTTTTGAACAACTGGATGAGGTTCCTGCTGTTGCTTATTAGTCACCTTTCACAGGATATTCACAGTCCTTCATGTTAACTATGTTCCTGTTTAATATCTGTAAAAAAAAAAAAAATTGATGATGCCAAATATCTTTTCCCTAGACGTTTTACAAGGAATGGATCACCCAGGACACCCACAAGGCAGATTTTATGAGGAAAATCGCTGCTCGTTCTGAGGAATACACTAAAAAATGCACTGGCGAAGAAGGGCAGGCGTGGACTAAAGGATTTGTGCCATGTGATTCTTATGCCATGGCTGCAGCTATAGATGAAAGCTTTGTCACTGATGTAATTCACTGTGCAGTAAGTGTAGAGCTCAGTGGCACGCTGACCCGAGGGATGATGGTGCTGGATCTCCTGCAGACACTACACAAGAGCCATAAGGTTTATATCATAACCAAATGTGACACAGAGAAGTTGAAATTTCTTTTAATGGAAGCCTTAAAATAATATACCTCAATGTACCAGACTGCAGAGAGGAAGTAATCACTTCTCTACTGCTATTAACCACATCTGCAAGAATCATTCCAGTACTTACAACAGAAGAGGGAGCAGCCATAGGCTAATTCATAATAATGACTTCCCTTTTTAAAACTCAGGAAAAAGAGACAAAAGTAATTGACATGGAAGGTATAATTTATGCAGCTGTGTTATAAGACTGTTGGAGCTGAAAATACTGAGCCAGCTATCAGACTCTGTTTTATTGCTTTTTTTACAATGGTGTATTATGCAAATAACCACATAGGGATTTTCTCAGGGCATCTTTACAGAAATCACTCATGGTAAACCTGGAAGTGGTCAGCTTACTTCCTTAAACTGCATTTTGAAATGTGTAATTGTTTTCTCAAAGCATTTCAATTAAAGTGCATATTTTGCCAAAACACTTTTTTTTAAAGTTTTGGATTGAGTAGGAAGGGGTTAAATCCCCTCCCTGTCCATTTTTTTCCCCCCTTTCTCATAAGGGATATTTTCCTTTACATCCAGTCCAAGGAATGCAACAGTAAATGAGAGGAAATTTCTACAAAGTGGGGAGAATTCCCGTCTGAGGCTATTGCCACCAGAATAGGTTTCCCCCATTTTGAAGATTTAAAGAAGAACTTTAGAAAAGCTTTTTCTTAACCCTTGCAGTAGGGCTTCCCCTACACTGCATGGATTAAGTGCTCATTTCTGTCTAGGTTCACAAATAACAAAGTTCTACTTACCCGAAGTTCAGAGTCGGCCCGCTGTCACAGCGCTCCCTCCAGCCTGTCCCCTGCTCTGCTGCTCTTTTGGAATCTTCCTCAGCATCCTCATGTCTATAAACAGTGTATAGATGTGAAGGTTTATGGAACCTTAGACTGCTGCGGGGGGGGAGAGAGGTTGGAAGGACCAGTCTAAAGGTGGCCACATGCCTTACAACCATCGCAAGACTTTTGTCTTGCGATGGTTGTAAGGTCATTAAAAAAACGTACGATCTGCCCATCTTGGACAGGCAGATCGTACTTGCGATAATCGCAAGCCCGCCCCACTGAGGGGCGGGCTTCCAAAGACCGTAATGCTGAACGGGCAGTGTGCGCTTGCGCACACCGGCCCATGCGGCAATTATCTTACGATCATGCCAGAAACCAGCCAAAAATCGTACGATTCTCGGCTGGTTTTCAAACATGTTCGTAAGACAAAAGTCGTGTGACCGTACAGTAGAAACGGGCACACGCCTTCCACACACCTTGCGATTATCGTACGATCGCGGGATTTCCCGCGATTATTGTACGATCATCGTAAGGCGCGTGGGCACCTTTTTAGAACAAGCAGGCCCAGAGATCTGTTGAGTATAAGTTTTTGTTTTTTTCTTTTCTTACCTAGACAAAAATGAGCAGTTAATCCTTGCAGTGTGTGGGTAGCCCCACCTCAAGGGTTAATAAACTTTTTCCTGGAGTTCTTCTTTAACCTCCCCTAGTGTTCTGGTGACAACCAAAACATATTAATTTCTGATCATTTTCTATCCTTGTAAGAAAAGTCACTAGGACAAAGCTTGTAAGTCTCCTCAGTAGGGACTAATCCTTCCCTACTGTATCCAGAAATATAGACATAGTTTGGGTTTTACATACACTTTAATATTGTCACGGCAAAGGTTGTATTTCACAGCCATTGTAATGTTTGTACATCTAAAAATTAACATTTCTAATATTCAGTCTACACAAATAAAACAATTTTCTGTGTTCCGTGCATGCTTTCATGTGTCGACTTTTCTACTTTTTTTCATTTTACATATTTTGCTGACTAATCTCTATCAGTGGTATGTCACAGCTACAATTGCAAACATCCAATCAGAAACATCAGAGGGCAACATCTAGAAAACTTAATCTATAAGATGTATCAAACCAACATCTACTTCTGCGTAAACCTCTATCAAAAGACTCTGAGTGGTAAAATATTTCCCACTGTCTAGTGAATTCAATGTTTTCATACTAGAATCATTTCACTTACCTCATCCTTTGAGAGTCACTGACAATCTTTAACTTTCGGCTTACACTGCCTCCTACAGGAGGATTGGACATTGGCAAACAAAAAAAACAACTATCTGAGCCTAGGATAACACCTCCTACTAACAGTGTTTTCTCTTGCTTAGGGTCCTAAGAGGATGGATGTCTTCTCTTCAGTTCTACTGAAGACAAGCCTTTATCTGCGTGAATGTGCACCCCCACTTTTTCAGGGTGGGGGGGGTGGCTGTTGACTTTTGTGGGCGCATGGATAGCTCGCATTTCAGATGCCTGCATTTTAGGAGGTGGTGTCCCAAGGCTATATAAAGTTGCACTTTGAGCCCTGCCCCCTTTTTTACTCCCTTCCCATCAACCACTTAATTTAGGTACACTCAGATTTGTTTAGTTAGGCCTGACAGATTCCTACATCCACACTAACAGCGTGGATGAACGAAACTCACTGCTGTCAGGATACCAGAACAGTGCTTGCAGCTGATTGCGACAGAGTGACACGTGTGACAGAGCAATGTGGCAATGAAACTAACTATGAGGATGAGTGTAAATCACTCACCTCATAGTTCTCCTTCCAGAAGTATTCCAAAACATAACTGGATTTAAGGGTGTGTCACAGACAGGATGACAGGTGCTTGGTTGGAACTCAGATTAGAGCAGAAACAGAAATATGCACAGTGCATGCATGTACAGGGCCAGGGTAAAGCTGGCCATACACCTATAGTTTTTTCGCAGATTTCCTATGGTCAGATGCAAAACGTGGAACAGATTCCTCCATCTACACTAAACTTTGTGGCTGGCTCTCAAAATACCTGCAAAATCTGATTGGATGCAGGCATTGTTCAGGTATTTTGAGGGCGAACTAGCAAGATACTGAAGCTTGGCCCAGCGGGAGATTCCTCCATCCACACAGTTTAGCATAGATGGAGGAATCTGTTGCACATTGACCATAGAAAATCTGCAGATAATCTATAGGTGTATGGCCAGCTTAAGCAGGGAGCAAACCAAGTTGCTAATTGATGGAAGATGGTTCTCACTTGGGTTAAGGAAGCAGTAGTATCTAGTCTTAATCAGAGCCATTGAAGGTATGGAGGAGCAGGTGGGGCAGGAAATCTCCTAATATGGGACCCATGGTGACCCACCTGGATAACTTGAGAGAGGAACAGGCAGATTGCCAGTACACAGCAGAAAGTCAGGAGCAGGACATGGTTAACAGCCAAGCCAAAACAGGTCACATTACGATATACAAACAAAAAGGCCAAATGGAATAGCTGAAGTGTGAGAGTGGATACAGACTAATGGTTGTACCAGCACTAGCTATTAGCTTCTCTGCTTGTAAAACTCCTCCACTTTGCAGGGGAGATGCCTGCAACAGTGTCAGATTCACACCTTACCGACACTCTGAATTCTATGGATACTCTTAAGTGCTGTTAGCATTTTTGCGTGTAAACATTCTAGGATATTTTTGAGGTAAAATAAAAAAAGTTCTATTCTGGTAAGGTGAATGACTAAGGTTAAAAAAAATCTATTTAAATGGTAGAGAAGGCAAAAAGTACTATCAAAGTCATAGGTTTTAGTGGGTAGCTAAAGTGTTTAAACTACAAGCTGTTGGCTCTTTCGTCAGGCATACTATATTATCAGATTTATATTTTATTATGGATTTATACTCTTAAATTGTGTTGTATCATTTGTTAATTTATTATTATAAACTATAGTAAACTCCTAGTTATCAATTCTGCAGCCGACAGGTGAATGAAAACAGCCACGAGCAATAGCCAGACTGCTATTGGCTATTTCAAATTGCAATAGCAGTCTGTCTATTGAACCCCCCGCCCCCCCTCCACTGAAACTTAAAAATGATAGTAAACACCCAGTAATCCGGTACTCATGGATCGGTAGATGCTGGATAACTGTAATTTCTTGTTGCTTAAGAGTTAATAGTAATGGCAGGCTGGCTATTGAAACCCTGCCCACTGAGCAGAGGAGCAGACCTGAGAGAGCAAGTTCTCTCTCGGGTCCACTCCTCTGCTCAGTGGCCGGGTACATGAGCCAGCCTGCTATCGGCTATTGCAATTATAAATAGCCAATAGCAGGGTGGCAATTGCTCCCCACTGTTTGCATTCTGCCGCCGAGCGCCAGCAGGCAGCGAGATGTAAACTAAAAACTGTCCTTAGCAACTAAACTTATTTAGTTGCTAATGAAATTGTTTGTGTGCACCAAGCAACCGGCAATTTTGTAGTGTGCATCAAGCCACCAGCAAAAAAAGAATCGGGCATATTATGTCAATTTTTGTTGTTGTTGCTGGTTGTTTGAATGCCAGATAATGGGTAGTTTACTTTACTTTGTTAAAAAAAAAAGAGAGCTACTAAAATGACAAATACCTGCAAAGAAAATAAGTTGTGTGGTATCTATTTATACTTATACTTGTTTTCTGTCACCATACAAATGGTTCAACACACGGTGTTGATGTAAGTACAAAACAGTTACTGAAATTACAGCCAGGAGTCTGTATACATGTCGGTGCTGCTGCCAACATAAGGCTTACGTCAGCGGCAGCAAAAGGTTAAAGCCCAATTCTGTGTTTGTTTGTTTTTTTAAAACCTCAAAAACATGTTGGAAACTGCTGCCACGTAATCTCCAGCACACCATCCAGTAGCAGTGACCGGTGACCTGAAGCTGCGCTCTTCACCGCTAGGACTGACTGGTCTTATGTCCACCCTCTGTGTGACATCACTTCTGCATACTACCATGAAGGGCTTTTTCGACAGCCAGTTAGCAGCACCAGTATCACCAGGAAGTACCTTAGGCACTACAGACTATACCTTTTGACACTATGAAGCAGGAGAAAGTAGACCCTAGGACTTGGCTTGTCCCATAACCAGTTGTATGTACATGTTTGGTACTTTTTAGATTTATTTATTTTTTTAATAAAAAAATATAGATGAGGTACAGGGGCGTGGAGTGTAATTGTTTTTTTGTTACTTAAAGGCGATCATTTAAAAAAAAAAAAAACAGGCATTGAAAGTCGCATGTTCTTATTAGCTCCTAAAACTTGTACATATTTATGTATGAATGGTATTG